GTTGGCAACATGCATCTGCACATTGACTTCTTCCAATTCTTTCAAAGACAAGTTCTGGAAGTCTGGCATAATGACATTGGCTGCTGCCTCTCCAATTTCTGGAAATGGATTACTGTCGATCCCCATGGCTTTATCTGCTTTAGTTGAGAATTTTAAACTTCCTTTCCAAATTTGTTCTTGGATCCTGTCTCGAAAAACAATACAGTTTTTAGTCGAGTGAGACAAAAAATTATGCCATTTACAATACACTTTTCCTTTAAGTTCATCTGGAGATGAAATTTTGACTCCTTTTGGTAACTTAAGGAAGTTGGCCGCAAGCAAATGATCAAAAATGTCATCTGCCTTAGTTAAATCAAAAGAGTATTTCCTATGAAGGTCTTTCTTTTTAAACTGCTGGTCAATTGTTGTATCCTTATGAATTAATACCTCACAGATCACAGGTTCTTTCCCCACAATCCCTACAATCTCTTCTGCATCAATCTCATAATTAGGATCTCTATAATATGTCTTGTATGATGCATTATTTCAATCTTGTTCATCCTCTAGTAATGCTTCATACCTAGACATCTTATAAGTTAGTTCCACCAAGTCTCTGAACTCAGTTGAATCAAACTTCTTTCGAAACCTAAACTCTAAGCCATTTTGAGCCAATCTCACGAATTCTGGCTCTGGTAGGATAACCCTACATTTGTTTCGTGCTCTTTTAAATCTAGCAATAAACTGAGTAGCCTTTTCATCAAGCTTTTGACTCCATCTTGCCGAGTCTGCCATGGAAACCTCTAGCTCCGATTGGAAGAATTGGGCATGAAATGTCTCTTCCATTTGTTGCCAAATTTGGATAGAGCTAGGTGTAAGGTTAATATATCATACAAATGCTCCCCCAGTTAGAGAATTTGGGAATAATCTTAACTTCATATAGTCATTATTAGTAAATTCACCGAATTGAGCAGCAAACCTACAATATGCTCCACTGTTGACTGATTTCTATTCCCATAAAAAAGGGCAAAATCTGGTATCCTGAAACCTCTTGGGTATTCATGTACCCTATCTATCCATTTTGGGTACGGTTTCCTATACACAGGAGTCTGGACCCCCCGAGCCATCGGTCCACACATCTCTCTAACAATATCAGTAATTTGGTCCCTAGGGACCATATTTTGTGCCTGTTGAACCACTACTGGAGGGACAAACACAGGATTTTGGTAGACAACCTTGTGCCTGGGGTCCTCTTGGTCCATAAGGTGGTATATTTGGGGCTGGTTGTCCCTGTGGTACCAGTTGCTGTTGGAGGTGTAGGTAACCCCTTTGAGCCTGTCCTGCGAAAGGTGTTGGAACTGGTATTGTGTCTCTTCCATTTGTAGGAAAACTTTCCAAACCCCCCGGGTATAAATTCGAACAAGGGATTAGTGAACCCCCTCGTGCCAGGTATGGCTTCGAACATGGGATTTAGGAACATTCTTATGCCATTTTCCTGTACTAGGCCAGATCCACCAGCTTGTATGGCTTCACTGTTAAGTACTGATGCAGGCCTCGAAATAGGTTCATACCAAGACTGAAGTGATGGTCTTTCATAGTTTTGATTGCTAGTTTGACCATTAGAATGTCCATTAATTTGCATAGGTTGTTTATCTCTAGCCAATCTTTGCTGAGGGACATTTGGAATATCTTCTGTGTATCTTGTGTTTGTTGGTTGATGGGGATTCATTCGATCCAAAAAGGATGTTGCCCACATTTCCATTGTATTCATTAACTGCTGTCCCATGGCATCTATTAAGTCACCCCATGGATTCATTGGCTGAGTAGATGGAACAGTGGATGGTCCAATTCCTTGGCCTCGTCCAATATTCTGAACATGTGGTACTTGTTCCGAAGTGCTGGTCTGTTCGACCATAGGTTCTGATAAAATAGGTGTCTCCACAGGATGTGTTGTCGCATTATCATCTGGATTAGGTATTTCTACCTCTCTTTCCACGCCTTCTTCCAAGGGTTCATTTCTCCTTGTCTCCTACGTCTAGCCATTTCAATTAGTCCCACCGGGCGTGCCAAAAATATATGTTGGCTTTTTTAGCTTTCGAATGTTACTTTTGTAATTATGAGTGTGCCAGCAAGGATCAATCAGTCCTTACAGAAAATTAATTGCCAACCAATTATCAGATGATTGTGTTTTAGTTCTTTTAGCCTCAATGAAGAGAACTTTTACTGGTGGCTTGATTTAGGAGAATTAAGCAAATAACAATTAAATGAAGACCAATTGAAGCATTTCATAAAAATGAAAAACTTACAATGATCCAAACTCAGCCTCGTAGAGGTTTACAATAACAATCTACTTGAAACTACTCCTATGAACGAAGTGTAGTGCAAGAATTTTAAAGTACAGAAATGTAAAAAACAGGAAATGTAAAACTGGAAAGGAAATAAAGTAGAATAAGACTGGTTTTTTGGATCTGAGTCTGGGGTTTTTTTTCTGGGGCCTTCTCTGCTATTTATACTTCTCAAGGATGACCATCAAACTGCATTTCCAACCGTCGAACTGCTCCTCCATGATCGCTGATCATGTTGCCTTATAATTAGCTCCATTATGCCATCACTTGCAGTTAAGCTTCCTTCTTAATTTTGAATTTGCATGTGAGTAACCGTTGAAGCCACATCACTTTGCATCTCCTTGCTGATCCAATGCTACTCAGATCTCGTAATAACCAATACTAACTGCCACGTACGATCATGATCGAAGACTTGAATAGCCTTCCTGTATTACCCATATTCTGTCACGCGTCGAATTGTAATTGATTTATACAAAATATGTAGCCAACAATATTATATTTATTATTATTTTTTTTGAATATATTCCCAAATAATTTAAACTTAAAAATTATTTATGATCACACAAAATGCAATGAATTTTTAGAAAAAAATACAAAAATATCCAATCTGTAATAAATTTGTCAATTTAAATTATAATTTTTTTATTTATTTTCAATTTAATACTTTTTTTTTTCCATCAGTTTTTGCTTGACAAAAAATAAAAAGATAGTTTAAATTACAAATAAATAAAAGATTATGATTTAAATTGATGAAATTAAAAACTTAAAAATTATTTTGTTTCAATGTTTTATAACTTTTTTATTACAATAAATATTTAAAATTTATAATTACAGTTTTTACAAACATTTTAAAACATTATTATAAACATAAAGGGTAAATTACACTTTATTCATTTATGTTTGACCCTTTTTTCATTTTAGCTCTTAATTATATTTTTTTTTTAACTTTAGTTGTTCACGTTTTAAATTATTTTTAATTTACTCTAAAAGTTTATTGATATCCAAAATTAGATAAAAAAATAACACAATCACATGAGATAAAAATATTTTAAAATATATATAACTCATACGTCTAATACAAATACAAATTTTAGGTCTCGTTTGACAAGTGATGATTTTAGCCAAAAAGTTATTAAAAAAATATCAAAAAACTAACCATCTATATCAAAAAGTCAAAAAAAAAAATTTCTTTCTACTTTTTACATATCTTTTCGTAAAAAATTAAAAAGTTACTCCAAACATATTAATTTTTTTTTATATCATATTTTAGCCAAAAAATTAAGAAATTACTAAAAAAATCTATTTCCAAACGAGGCCATAATATAACAATAAATTTTATTATTTTATATGACAATTAACATAATATTTGTTTATTTAATTTTAAAAATAAACTAAAAAACCTGAAACATAAAAGTGAAAATAAAAAAGTGTAATTTATGCTTACCCCCAACATATAAAAAAAAAAAGTGTGATGTTACGACATTTTCAACTGTCCATTTTTTTAAAAAAAAATTAAATTTGAGTAAAAGTTTTGTTGATATCAAAGTGTTCTAACAGAGAGTTTTAAGATTTAATCAAATCACCAGATGATTAGCTGGTCACCGGCCAGTGTAATTTTTTCATAAATTTTTGCCTTGAGGTGTTCACCTGGAGAACATTCGGTGATGAAAATTTAATGGCAATGAACAGTAATTTGATAAAAGTTACGTTGGTCGTCAATTTGATAAAAGATTTGAGAAATTTTAGATTTGATGAACCGTTGGAGGAGCAAAAAGTAAGGTTGTACTTGGTGGGACTTTGTAATTAATTTTCAATCCACTGATTTTAATGCTACGTTTGGTTTTAGTTTTTAAAAATCATTTCTACACCTGCGTTTGAAAACTCGTTTACCTGGTCATCCCCTAAATGCCCAACTGATTGACGGGAACAGTTTTTTTTAGCGCTTGCTATTTTTATATTTTAAATAAAAAAATATTTTCAGAATTTTTAATTTTTTTTAATGAGTTTTGAATAGAATTTTGGGTTGTATTTGGTTATGAGTTGTAAGTTTTTGAATCAAATATCATATGTCATATAAAAAATTTCAAATTCAATTCAAAACTCATAATCAAACAAATTTTTCTGATTCAAATCATAATTAAAAAACTCACAAACTCAAAATACAGCTCTATTCTTAAATCATAATTCTAAAACTTTATGAAACGCTACCTAAGTTTTTTCTATCAAATTTAAGTAGATGTTTGGGATAACCTACAAAAATTAAAAAATCAAAAAATTACTAAAAAAATTATAAAGTCCATACTATTTGGGAAAAGCTTAAAGGGCAAAATTATTATTTTACCATTTGAATTCAAATATCCAGTAGTCAAAAAGCCAATAAAGATAGAATGATCATTTTAATTTTACTATAATATTTTATTATGCATTTTTTCATAGAAGGTTAAAAAAATATTTTAAACATATATTTTTTTTTCTTTACTTTTTTAACAAAAAAATCAAAAAATATATTTATAGAAATCATCTCAAATAGTCATTAAATTTGAAAATAAATTTAATGAATCATTAAAAATAAACTAAGAGATTTCAAATAATTTATTAAATTTTCTCTCCATTAAATAAATTTAATAGATCATTAAAAATGAGCTAAGAGATTTCAAATACCAAACTGATGTCAGTGCCACACCTACACGCCCAAGGGAGAGGTTTGGCCAAAAAATTCGTTCATTATTTGAGGTCCAAATTCCAATCTAAATAAATAAACAAATTATGATAACTTTGTCGCGTGTCGGATTAATTATGTTCGACCAATTAATTAGTAAAATCGGAGGGAATCGGTATGAGATATAAAGCGATCGAACACATATATAATCCCATGTCGGTTCTGTGAATGATTCGATTTTGCCTACACAGAGGTAAAAAACCCTACTCTCTCTGTTTCTATCTATTTATCTGTCAATTATCGTTCAATTTCCTTCTATCTTTAACCTGTTTTATGTACAGTAGAAGTAGTAGTAACCATCAAGTTAAGCTCTTGAAGAAACCGCCGCCGCCTCCTCCTCCGCCGCCGCTGCCGAGGTTGCTGCGTTGGGTAATCGCATAGAAGATCTATCAACAAGGAGGGGGAGGGAGGGATTAGAAGAAAAAATCAAAAAAGAAGGGGATTGTTAGGGTTTGGGAATTGGGATGGCAATTGCGGCGCCAGGGCAACTGAATGTCAGCGAATCGCCGTCGTGGGGTTCCAGAAGCGTCGACTGTTTCGAGAAATTGGAACAGATTGGCGAAGGCACTTATGGGTCAGTTTTACAAACTTACCCAAATTCTATTTTCCTTTCCCTTTCTATTTCAATTTGATTGCCCTTGCTATGTATTGTTCATTGAACTTAATTTATTTTTTTAATTTTTTAGTATTGCTTAGACCCACAATTTTTAAAAGTGGCATGGGAGTTGAGGACATGTACAGTTGAGTTTGTGATAAATTAAAATTTAACGTGTAAAATTATGCTATTTCATTGGGGAAAGCTTTTTAGGGTCTCAAACATTCTAGGAAATACCTGGCCTCTACCTAGTGTGTTTACTAACAATCTGTTTGGTAAATTAGAAGGGGATGGAGATGGGAATCGAGATTGGTAATACCCTGCGGCTTTCACGGGCTTCACATTTTTTTTTGTGTCCTTTACCATATTTGATTGACAAAAATGGGTGTTTGTTGTTATCTCATTGAATGGTAAAAATAATTCTCTCCTTTTATTCATGTTGTTACATCTAATTAAAGATAGTACCAAATACGGAAAATCATTCCATGTCCTACATGCTAGTAATCATGGTATTACCAATTCCAAATAGTACTGAAAAATCTAGTTCCGAAGGGTAAACTAGAAAAGAAGAGAAAAGAAAGGATGGAGAGGAAAGAGAGAAAAAAAGAGATGTTGGCATCTCTTCTTTTTATTTAAATAATTCAGGAGATAAATGAAGATAAAAGAGTGGGTTATCATATCTTTCTCACTTGGGAAGATAAAAGGAGAGAAAATAAATAAACAGTGAGCTGTATAATGTAAGCTTTTCCGAAACCATTCTAATGACATTAAAGTCACACCCACACACCAAACGAAGAGCATGAACCATAAAGGCTAGCTAACTCCTCCACAAAGGATTCCTTAACAAAGACCTCCACTCACTTTTATCCACATTCCTCAATCTAATGGACAACAAAAACTCCCATACTATTGTTTCATGTTCAAAAATCTTTCTTTCATCTCAAATAATTATGACTCCCCTTGAAGTGCTACACGAAGGTAAACTACCCACCTCCTATATCTAGGCTCCTATATACTCTTATTTAGTTTTCTATCAAAGTCTTCAATTTTTGTTCTGGAAATTTGGAAAATAGCAATATCTAGACTATATTTAACTCAAACCTCTCTAACTACTACTCTCTTTCTTCTTGACCTAATTGCTCTTGCATTCCAAACTACCATCTTCATTTAGAACTATCTCTACCTGACTAATCCTAATCTCTTTATGTTGTGTTTGATTAGTGGATTTGGGAAGGGATTTGGAAAAAAAAAGAAAGGGAAAAGGTGTGTGAAATTACATGAAATGTAGATGTATTTTATTCACATTCTACCTATATTTTCTCTTTCGATTTCCAAATCCTTTTCCAAATCCCCCAATCAAACACAGCATTAGGGAAACCATTGTAATTATTAACATTTGAAATTAAATTTCTTAACTCAACCTATTTCCTTTTGCTCATCTTTTTTGACTTTCCAACCCCTTAGAACTACACCCCTCTCTCCCGCTTCCTCTTACTATTCAAACTAACTAAAGATAAATCCATCTTTTTGAATATAACTGACTTAAGTGTACCAACCCTTGCCCACCAAGAGGAGAAGAAACAATTCTCTTAAACTTTCTTGACCTTTTTCCGTTAGTCTGATGACCCCATTCCTTTCATAACTTGCGTTTTTATTTACTGCCAATCAAAAAATATATATATATATATATAAGAAAGGGAATGAGAACCTGGAATGGCCATTTACCCATTCTCTCATACCATATAGGGGGTGTTCACGGGTCGGATCAACTCAGTTTTGCTGGTCATCGTCATTTGAACCGACAACATCGGTTTGAAAAATCCATCAACTGAACTCGTTCAACCATTGTTTGGAGACCATTGACTTCGGGTCGTTGAAAATCCAATCGAGCTTCGGTCAGTATTGCAACTCAGTCGTCTTCCTCAAGAGAACTGCTTGAGGGCTTTAGGGGAGGAAGATCAAAGATGGAACGAGAAAGGGATGAGGATTTTGAGGGAGGCAAAGCATAGAGAGAGAAAATGAGATGGAGTGGTTTTGGGAGAAGAAGATCATAAATGAAGGGAGAAGGGTTTAGGGAGAGAGAAGAAATGAGATGAGGGTTTTGGGAGTGAGTTTATACGTATCCAATATCAGGATTGGAGTATTGAGTGTGTTTTTATAGACGAATGAGGCCCCCAATCAAGGCGTTCATCAACAGTTCCTCCATCAAAGATGCACCATGAGGGAAGATGGAGAGATGTCTGTAACATACGTGAGAGTGAGAGAGAGAGAGAGAGAGAGAGAGAGTGTACTCAAGTAATGAGGAAGAGAGAAGTGAGAGAGAGAGAAAAGTTAACAAAATTAAATAGAGAGAGAGATAGTTTGGATGGGGAAGAGAAACATATGTTAGTGGGAAAAGAAATAGACTTTTTTTGAAACTTAAGATTTAGAGATAAGATAGGTAGAAGATTTTGGAGATCATGTAATCTGGTAAGGAAATAATAAAAAGACACATGTAGATTCTATCATATTTCGGTCAGTTGGTTTCTACGGTTTCATTAATATTACATCTGAATACCGAACCGACACCCAAATTTATAGAGCTCCAAAACCCGCAGCTGACCGTATATTGTGTCGAAACCGTCTGCAATAGTCAAAATCGGGTTGGTTGGTCAGATTTCATTGGTGGTTCGGTTCTATGAACAGCCCTAATACCAAATGTACCTTCAGTCATTAGGAAATAGAGAAAAATGTCGAATCTTCAATTTGTGCACCTTAGAAGAGAGTAATTTTATGTTATTATTTATTGTACCAATATGAGAAATGGAATAATAAGTTGGTATGTCATAAACGAATTTCTTACTAGATTTTCTTATCACTAGACATAAAGGCAATGAATTCCACTTGTATTTATTAATGTGGTCTCCACTACCATTGTGTTTAGAAGTGAGGATATCTGGTAAGAAATCCGATTATATATAGCAATACTCATTTCCAAGTAGTTGGGATAGTGCTTTGTTGGTTTTAATTCACGCATGAATTCAACTTGTGGCTTGTGCATTCATGTTTAATTTATTAGTGATTCTTGTTTGTGGAGCTCTTGTTTCAATTCGTATGTTTCATAGAGGAAGGAAAATTTGCTTCTTGCATGTAGTCTCCTATGATTGTTGTGATGGCAGTGGAACCTAATCTTCTGCCTGTGCAATTCTGCTTTTGCAGTCAAGTTTACATGGCGAGAGAAATTAAAACAGGAGAAATTGTGGCTTTGAAGAAAATACGGATGGACAATGAAAGAGAGGGGGTAAGGTTTTCTTTCCTTTCATATCATTGGCCTTTGATTTTTTTTTATTTTTTTTTTTGAGTTTTGCGAGGATTTTGAAAGGATCAAGAAAAAAATTAAGGAGAAAGTTACAAGGCCCCTTCCAAAAAAGTTTTCAGTTGTGGAGGCCAGGCACTGTTTTTTGTTTAATATAACCTGGAAATAAGTTATTGTGTCTAGAAAGTTGGTTCTTAAATGGCTTTCCTTTGCAGTTCAAAAATATCCTCTTCCGGATGAACTTACCTACCTTCTGATACTTCTGTAACCTGGCTTCTGCGAGTTGGCATTGAACTTGCCTTCTGAAAATTAGTTACCATAGGTCCACAGGATAGAGTGTCAGTAGATCTGATCAGTTTTCTTAAAATTAGGTCGAAGTTTCCACTGGAAACAAAATTTATGAGATGAAGGCGCAATGTAACCTTTGAACTTTGGTTAGACTGATTTTTTTTTTTTTCTTGCAGAAGCAACTAAGTAGGAAACCAGTCATCTAATATTTGGTGTTGCCTATAAGTAAAACTGACAATAACAGAGGTGGCTGGGTTGTGTTCTGGTGGTCAACATTGACTTGAAGGCTGACCAACGATCGAGATGTTCTGATGCGCCATTTTAATTGCACTTGTCCAACATAGGGTATTACTATATAAATTCGTAATTTTTCAGAAACCTGGTCTGCCATGAATGAAAATTTTGGCATTGTGATCCTATTAATGAGTCAAAATCTCAACTTGAGTAATGCTAGAAAGCATTTAAGGGCCACATTATCTTCAAAGGGTTGTGTCCGATGGAATGGACAGGAGTTCAGGCGATTGGTTTTCTAGATTGAACTTTGCCATTCCTAGTTATAATGGATAACGGAAAACATTTTGGGTAACTCTATATGGAAAACATGTTTTGAGGTTCCTTGTCATATCTTTCTAAATGCTTTTAATATCTTTCTAAATGCTTTTTTTTTATTCTATTTGACTATGCAGTTCCCTATAACTGCCATACGCGAAATTAAGATATTGAAGAAGCTGCATCATGAAAATGTGATTAAGCTGAAAGAAATTGTAACATCTCCAGGTAAGCTATTCAGATTCATATTCACTGTTCATCTCTAGATTTTCTGTCCTGTTATTCTATTCTCTAAGAGTAGCTATTTTAGTTTACGTAGCTAATTGATTGAGATCATTGTCCAGGTGCTGAGAAGGATGAGCAAGGGAGGCCAGGCAAGTATTTTGGTGTGCACTTTTAGATGCTGTAATCTGTCTCCATTTATATTCTGTTTCATGAACAGTTTATTTATTTTGTTTACTGTCCTACTTATGTGAGAGCAGGGAATTTCTAACGTCAGTGTCATTACTTGGAGTTGCAGATGGTAACAAATATAAAGGTGGCATCTACATGGTTTTCGAATACATGGACCATGATTTGACAGGTCTTGCTGACCGTCCTGGGATGAGATTTTCAGTGCCACAGATTAAGGTAATACCAAATTGTGTGAACAAAATGCTGCAATATCTAGTTATTGACCTTTAGATGATTGACCCTCTCCCTCTCTCTCTCTCACACACCCTTCTTTTTCCCCTTCATCTTTCAGTGCTACATGAGACAGCTTTTGACAGGGCTTCACTATTGTCATGTAAACCAAGTACTTCACCGTGATATTAAGGGTTAGCACGAAAGCTAGTTTTTTCCCTAGGAGATCTTGCTTTTGTTTTCATGACGATACGGTATGTGGTTGTACCATTGTGTTGCAGGCTCCAATCTTCTGATAGACAATGAGGGAAATTTAAAGCTCGCAGATTTTGGCCTTGCTCGGTCATTCTCAAATGATCATAATGGAAATCTCACGAATCGTGTAATTACTTTATGGTATAGGTAAACTGTTCAGCTCACCCTCTAGGAAAGAAACATGCATGTGCACAAAAGCAACTTTGATGAGTGTATCTAATTTTTGTTCAAGATTTTGTCTTCTAAATGCTCTGTAATAAGAATCTTACGATTCGTGATTCGATTCACGTTTCAATTCGCAATTTTTGCAAAATCGATATGAATCTATGGGCGAATCTATTTTGGAAGTGAATCTTTAGTGAATCACATGATTCATCAATTCACGATTTAATTCACTTTTTACGATTCATGCAATTCTTGAAATTATCATATCCAACATATTTCGATTCTTTTTTTCCTCTTTTTCTTTTTTTTTTTTTTTTTTTTTTTTTTTTTTTTTTTTTTTTTTTTTTTTAAGTTGAAATGACATAATACAACTTCTAATAGAGTTTAGTACAAAAATAACCAAAATATAACATGATTTGTTGTTATTTTGGAGATCCGAGAGTTTTTAATATGATCCAATTAGATCAAGTTAGACCCAACATGTTTTTAACTTTTTCTTCTCATTTTTTTTTCCTTAAAAAAAATATAATGTATATTCTAAAGATGTTTAAGATTAAAGTAACTTGCAATATAAATTATTTATTGCTATTTTATTGAAATAAATATGCTAAAATATTACATGGGTGACAATAGTTAAAAGTTGCAATAAATATATTAAAATATTACTTGCAATATAAGTTTTTATATTTAAAAAATATATATTTAAACAATAAACATATATACCTTCTAAAATATTTTAGATTTTAAAATAAAATATTCTAATTAATTCTTTCTTATTATTGGGTCATTGTTACTTGTAAATGTATATATGTTTATGAAATATCAATATCGTTGTTAAATTATTTTTACTTAAAAATTGAGAGTTTGTCTTTGTTTATTTTCTTTATTTAGAATGGTTGATAAGCAATATCTAACAAAGGGAGAAGGTAAGATGGCGATCTTACAAGGGAACCTGTGTTAACTTTTTACCTATTAAACCACGTGATCATCATTCAAAATAACATTTTCATTGATTTAAGTCTAAATTTTTTATATTTATAAGATATATTTAATATCCAAGTGTGTAGATGTATTTTTCTAGTAATTTAGAAAAAGTAACTGAATCATTATGATTCACAATTCAGTACCAAGCCATTTCGATTCACGATTTGACAACTATGTCTAAATGTCATTTGATTGATCCTGATCCATAATAAACTTAACAGACCTCCTGAGTTACTGCTTGGGACAACAAGATATGGTCCAGCTGTTGATATGTGGTCAGTTGGTTGTATCTTCGCAGAGCTTCTACATGGGAAACCAATCTTTCCTGGGAAAGATGAGGTACAGTACTGTTAATTAAATTCTTTTTAGTGTACTAAAGAATGATATGCCTGATGAACATGGGCTTAGTGTGAATGTCACATATCACGCCGCAATCTTGATTTCTGGCCATCACATGGAGCACTTTGGATTCTGAGATCACAGTGGCATTCACAGTGTGTGATTGTCAAATTGTGAGCAGACAATGATGTATTTTGTTTAAGCAATCTCAGTTGTGCTTCTGTGATTTAAAGAAGATGATGATAGCCTTCAATGTTTGTCTTGTTTTGGTTACAAGAATCATGCTTTATTCGTTCACACATGCAATGGGATTTGAGAGAAAAAGAAAAATATTAAATTTATTAGGAAATCCAAGAAACCAGAAAAGTGAAGATAAAACAAGCATGATTTTGTTATCGATTCTTTTTCTTTGTTATAGCAATGTACTTTTTCTTTTTCACCGCTAGTACTATTAGAATTTTGTAATTTAAATGGTTTTTCTTACAATGGCAAACATATTCCTCAACTAAGCCTTTAAACATTTTTTCTTAAGCTCATTATATTCATAAACCTCAACATTCTCAGTTATTTAATTATTTAAATAAATTAAACATTTATATAGGTGGTTGTTTTTGTTTTCAAACGTTTTCAATTTTTTTCTTGTTTCACTTATGTTTTCGTTTCCAAGATAACTGAAACAACATAATGAAATTCGGATGAAGATAGCTTGTTAGATCGAAAAACCTTTGATTTGGGGTGGGCTTTGCTGGAAGGGAATTTGCTTACTTGAAGATAAGTGTTTCGTTGGGTGGGGAGCTGTTAAAGACGTTTTCTGAGATTGTTGTGGAGTAGATCAAAAAACCTTTGATTTGGAGGTGTTTTTTTTTTTTGGGTGGGCTTTGCTGGAAGGGAATTTGCTTACTTGAAGATAAGTGTTTCGTTGGGTGGGGGATCTGTTAAAGACGTTTTCTGAGATTGTTGTTGGGGAAGACCTCCACAAGAAGTAGAGGTCTTTTCTTGAAATGGTGGGATTGCAACAATGGTTGAAATACACTATGAAGGTGCATCACAAAGGGCCTAGGGGGTTTGGAGGGGTCGAGCTGGTTCTAGAGTCCTATGCGCAAGTTGTAGGTTATTGGCAGAGATGCCTCTTGTGGGTAGGTTTGGCTCTTGGGGAGAGACTAGCAATGGGTGAACAAGCATTAGGAGGGGTTTGTGGGAGAGGACGTGGTGGAGTTAAGTGAAACATTCTTTCCTTTCATTCTCCCTTCCATGTAGGGGTCTCATAGAATCCTCTCGGTGGATTGGGAATGCGACGGCAAATCTGTTTTCCTTGATTGGTGGTGGTCCACAGGGGGATAAGAGGACAGTGGTGAAATCATCCTTGAAGAAGTGGAAAGGGGATTTGGTGTGTTTGCAAGAGATGAGGATGGAGTTTTTCTCAGTTTATATTGTCAGGTGTTTGTTGGGTGGCGGTGTGGCAGCAAAACTGACCCGACCCTACCCGATCCTTAAGCAACTTACTTAGAGGAGCTATTAATATAGCCATTTAGTGTAGTGTTTTGTTTTCTAAGAAGCATGGACATGTGACACGATGACGACATGGAAAATTTCAAAAAATGAAAGACACGGCACATGGTTGACACGTGCAAAATATATAGTATTTATTATATATCATATATAAGGATAAATAATTATTATATGTCATATGTATGAATATTTAAGTCAAAATATAATCATTTTAAAAGCCTAAAGGAGAAAATTAGATATGAATTTACATTGCTGTTGTTTTATCATTGGATTCCAACTTCCAAGTTATTTTATTCCAATTTGTAATGTATTTCATGTGTGTGCAAGTGTTAGAAAGTGTCCGATGAGTGTCTACGTTACCTTAAGTGTTTGTGCTTCTTAGGGTGACGCCATACTTCCTTCAGTTCTTTCCACCTTATGTAGTTGAATTAATGTCATTCTTGCCCTTGCTTTCTTTAAGAAATGCTTCTAACTTCGAGCTCGATACTTCTTTGTCACCATTTTGATAAAAGATCAAATTATATCAAGCAATTCATGCGAAGAAAGTGGGATTTTCAGCTCTCTCATACCAAATTGTTGTAGGATATTATGAAGCTACCTTGAGAAGACCATTATAATGTGTTAAAATTTATCACCTACTTCACCCACTTAAACCTACTCCACTAAACCTAACCCACTACACCACTACCACCTCCACTACACCTACTTCTTACCTACTACACACTCACCCTCTTCTATATATAGGAATCATGAATCATTGTAATATAACAACACAAATCAATCAATAATACATCAGTTTGTTTACATGGTATCAGAGCAATAGGTTAAAGATCTTGGTGTTCTCGGTGATCTCAGCCTTCCGGCGGGCGGCAACCTTGCCTTGACCGCCCGCCGGATCCTCTGCATCAGACATGATCCCTCTCCCTCATGGCCATGGCAGCTACATTTACACACAGCAAGCACATCAGTTCCTCACCCTCTTGTTTATCTTCTTCTTTAGAGCACCCTAGCATAGTTGGTTTCGTACAGTGTTGATTTGGCTTTTGTGCTGGAACTCTCTCTCCACTCAAGACACCCACCACTTTCTCAACTTTCCCACCTATCTTCCATTACCTTTTGCACTTTCCCACCGCCCACATCCCTCTTCCACTCAAGACACTTTATTTTATATATTATTATTATTCTTATTATTCCACCAAAAAAAAAAATGTAGTCTTCACGGTTTCCGGCATCACCTCCTTCAACATAATGGTTCCTCTTCTTCTTTAGGCCACTCACATCAGATGTTCCTATCACACTAATTTAGTGGGTCCCATTTTCAAATTCCAAAGTTCCATTAATGCATGCCACATTTATTAAGAGAAGTTTTTGAACTTTGTTTGTTTGTTTGGCATTTTCCATTATAATTACCTACTGTATTTGTCCCGATTATGACAACATTCTAACAAAATACTGTGGGTAATATGCTCCCCGTTTGGCAAATCTTGTTTGTACCTTTTTTAGCTTACAATTTGATATTTCATGATTAAGTAGTTATAATTTGAAAAGTTACACTCCGTTTGGATTGATGGTTTAGGAGGGGAAGTGAAGGATCTAGAGGGATAAAGTTAGTTAAATTGTGTTTGGATTTGTGCTTGGATTCTTTTTTAGAAGGGAAAGAAAGTGCATGGAGGGATTATGAGGGGGAGAGAGTACAAGTATTTTAAGCACCTCACTTTCCGTCCATATTGGGAGGAAACGGAAGGGAAGTGAAGTGCTTCTCATACCAATATATTAAAATATCTTATTAAATATATCTCCCATTAATTAAGTGCTGTCTACCAAACAAGAGAGATGAGACTTTCCCTTCCTTTTCTTTCTCATTCCCTTCTTTCCCCTCATAACTAACTCTTCCCTTCCCTTCCTCTCCCCTCAATCCAAACAGAGTGTTAAGGTACTTGGTAAAACTTTTCAAGTTTTCAGCTATTTGCTTTTTTCAGTTAAAAAAGCCACCTTTTTAAAGCTGAGTTTGATATGCTTTTTTTTAAGATACAAGGAAGTTTTGCCAAACAGCCTCTTTATATTTTTTGGGTGGGTCTTTTCGTTTTATGGTATTGTTTTCCAGGAAGTTATGTTTATTGGTTTTGTTGTTGTTTGTAGCCCGAGCAATTAAACAAGATATTTGAGTTATGTGGAGCTCCTGATGAGTCTAACTGGCCCGGGGTCTCTAAGATTCCTTGGTACAACAATTTCAAGCCAACAAGGCCAATGAAAAGACGTCTCAGGGAGGTCTTCAGACAGTAAGTAAATCATATCCTATAACCTGTATTTTCAGTGTAGACCAGGAGTTTAGTGCATCATTATTCACACTACTACTTTTGCATTATAGCTTTGATCGGCATGCTTTGGAATTACTTGAGAGAATGCTGGCTCTTGATCCATCTCAGGTATCTCTTCCACTCTTATGATCATCTTCTCTATTTATTATTATTATTATTATTATTATTATAAGTAGGGCCATCTTCTCCAGTTACGTTTTTTTCTAAGAGTTTGGCCAATCTTGATGGGAGTTGAACCCTGACCCCTACTGCCACATTTATACAAGGTCCATTAATAAATTTTGACTGACTTAATGCCACTCGTGTATAAGTTCTTAAATATTTCGGTTTACATAAAATTTCAGTTTTTCTTTTGGTTAATATTTTAATATTTGGTTCCAATTTCTATTCTTCTTCTTGAATTATGTGTATGTGGGTTCTTTTGAGCACTAAAAGTTGCTGAGATGAGAAAGCTTAGATGGATGTGTAGTAAGGCTATGAATTTATTTTAACTGACATGGGATGTGATAGCGAAAAACTATGAATTTATTTTAACTGAACATATTGCCCTTGATGGGGTTGAATGGTGTGAGCCATCAAGGTATTGCTCGTCTTCCTCGTGCAAAGAGGAGATTACCGGGAGAAGTAATAAAAACCTAACTTGAAGAAGCAATTCCCTACTTCGGTAGCTCAGCCGTAATCAGTATAGGGCCTAGTCCAGTCCTTAATCAAGTGCTTTCTATCTATCTTTCATATTGAGTGCTCTCAGAGGTGCATTCGTTGACCCCTTTGCGGATGTCACAGCACAAGCCTGACTTGTAATTTATGAAAGATTACAAAAAAAAAATTCATGTAGCCGACTTCACTTGATTGGGATACAAGATTAGTTTGGTTTAATTTAATTTGGTTTGTTTGGTTTATCTTTGTGATAAGTACACCAAACATTCCTCTGTTAGGGGGGTATTCATATTGTCGTTTGTTGAACTCCTATGAGAAAGCTACTCATTCGTTCAAAAAATATATATATGAGAAAGCTACTCTTTTGAGTTTTTATAATTAATTAAAGGGTCCTGCTAAAAAGTGCCAATGGGGCACAAGAAAAAGATAAAAAAATTTTTTGAAGAAGACAGTTTTTATTAAAATCAATATACTCGTTAATTTTTTCACTTATTTTCAAGACACTTTTTACCTTAATCCCAATCCAATGTTAAACAATGCCCCAGTGGCACTCTTTAGCATTTGCCTTGATTAAATACTCTTGTTCTATAACAGCATTCTTCATTTGATAGTCTGCATTGATTTTTTATTTTATTTTGTTTTATTTTTTATAGAGAATATCAGCCAAGGATGCACTTGATGCCGAGTATTTTTGGACCGACCCATTACCTTGTGATCCTAAGAGGTTTGAATTTCATTCTCTTTCTTTTTTCCCATCTTGTGTAATAGTACTTAAATTCTTCAAAGCGTCGATATATTTCTCTTCCTTAACTACCAATTATAACCGGCTTCCCTCAGTTTACCAAAATACGAATCCTCACATGAGTTCCAAACTAAGAAAAAGCGACAGCAGCAGCGACAACATGAAGAAACTGCAAAACGTCAAAAACTACAGCACCAACAGCAGCACACTCGACTTCCGCCAATTCAGCAGACTGGTCAAGCACACGCCCAAATGCGACCAGGACCGAACCAACCCATGCACGGTTCTCAACCCCCAGTAGCTGCAGGACCTAGCCACCATTATGCGAAGCCACGTGGACCCTCTGGAGGACCGAGCCGATATCCCCAAGGCGGAAACCCCACTGCGAGTGGGGCCTACAATCACTCGAACCGTGCTCAAGGCGGAGGAGGAGGAGGTGGAGGGTATGGTAGTGGTGCATATCCACCTCAAGGACGCGGCCCACCATATGGTTCGAGTAACATGCCTGGTGCGGGTCCCCGGGGAGGAGGGGCTAGTGGGTATGGAGTTGGTGCTCCGAATTACCCTCAAGGCGGTCCATATGGAGGTTCCGGTGCTGGCCGTGGCTCGAGTATGATCGGTGGGAACCGCAATCAACAGTATGGTTGGCAACAGTGACATTATAGCTTGTGCTAAGTGAGATCTGTTGACAAGCTTGATTGTGAGTGATAACGGAAAACAAAATGAATAATAGGATGATTTCAATTTTTGTTTTCTATGCCTCGTATGCCCATAGTTCTATTATTTAAGGTGGTTCTTGATGAGAAGATAAATAATTGATTATTGCTTGAATTTTGTATAATTCATATTCTTTTTATGTTGTGTTAAAGACAACTTTACATGGTTTGTGTGGATTGCAGCTTGGCCATGTGAATATAAGTAGTGTTCTTATTGCAAATTGGTGCTATTGCTTATTGGTCTATTTTGAATTATTTGGTGCGGCTTATCTGAATTTTGGTTTTTATATTTTTTTAGTCTGTGTCAAATTGTTTGTTATAAACTAAGTTGGTCCAAAGCCCAGAGTCTCCTTTTTAATTTTGGATTCAAAACTTACGGATTTTAAATTTTAGGATAAACTTGGCCTGGTGTATTATGGACAATTATTCACTATGTTTGGTGGTTGTTTTTCAAGCTTCGTTTTTTTTAAATTTTAGAATATTTGTTCGGTTATTTCAAAAGTTGAGCTCACTTTTCAAGATGATATGTTGAGGATATTAAGGAGAGAGACAATTTTGAAAATGATATATTGAGGACTTTCTAAATTGAAGTTTTCCTCTAATTTAAGGAGGTGGACAATTTTGAAAAGAAAAAAAAAAAACTGTCACATGAAAAAGTACTCTCATCATATATATATATATATATATGTGATTTTATCATAAAATTTTCATTCATTTTAATTACAGAAAATGTAATTTTTTTTCCAAATTGACATTAATTTCTTTCATAGAATTAAATTTTCATAAATGTTCTGTAGAAAATTTTGTAAATCGTAAATTTAAACCTAAATCTAAGATTTTGTAAATAAATTTAAACATAAATTTACAATTTTTTTTAATGTCAATTTGTAAAAAAAAATTACGTTTTCCAAAAATTTGTAACAAATTAGGTTTTTCGGAAATTTGTAAATATATGCAGCCAAAAAATATGATTTTTTTTAATGCGAATTTGTAAATAATTTTTTTGCATAACATTTATGAAAATTTAATTATATGAAATACATTTTTTAATGCCAATTTGGAATAAAAATTTACGTTTTCTGTGGTTGAAATAAATGAAAATTTTATAATAAAGTCACACAATTAATGGTAAGATATGTACCCATAAATGAATACATACCAAATTGTGTTTTTATACATATATAGCATATACGTATATATATATATATATAACAGTGATGTTAGGGACCTCTGAATTAGATACTCTAAACACACTTCTAATGAGGTGGAAAAAAAAAAACAGGCACAGCACTGACAGTGACAGTGGGTGGGATCCACTGCCACATCACTAGTGGCACCTCTAATTAGAGGTCTCAAGTATTTTTGTATATATAACTAAGATGACAGTATTTTTTGATGTGACAAATTATTTTTTTAAAAATTGTCTCTCTCCTTAAATTAGAGGGAAACTTGAAATTGTAATGATGCATTTTTTTGAAAACTAAAAACATATTCTTTTTTAAAATAAAGTTTTCAAATCACTTTTTGAAAAAAAAAAAAAATTCAAAAACATGGAACCAATGGCATAGTTTGGGAAGTTGGTTTTGGTGGGTTAGGGGCTAAAATAGCCACAAAAAAACAAAATAGGCTATTTTAGCCACAAAAAACAAAACATCAAATTCAACCCATAATCATTACACTCCTCTCTCACAAAAAAAGTCAAAAAACCCTTCTAATGATTATGGGTTAGATGTGATGTTTTATTTTTTGTGGCTAAAATAGCCTATTTTGTCTTTTGTGGCTAAAATAGCCAAAAAAAGTCCCAAACTCTTCTTGCCAAACGAACCCTAAGATGACAGTATTTTTTGATGTGACAAATTATTTTTAAAAAAATTGTCTCTCTCCTTAAATTAGAGGGAAACTTGAAATTGTAATGATGCATTTTTTTGAAAACTAAAAACATATTCTTTTTTAAAATAAAGTTTTCAAATCACTTTTTGAAAAAAAAAAAAAATTCAAAAACATGGAACCAATGGCATAGTTTGGAAAGTTGGTTTTGGTGGGTTAGGGGCTAAAATAGTCACAAAAAACAAAATAGGCTATTTTAGCCACAAAAAACAAAATAGGCTATTTTAGCCACAAAAACAAAACATCAAATTCAACCCATAATCATTACACTCCTCTCTTACAAAAAAAAGTCAAAAAAGTCAAAAAACCCTTCTCAAACCATACTTTTTAGCCCCAGGCTAAAATAGCAAAAAAGCCAAAAAATTAAAAAGCCAACCCACTTCCCAAACGGAGGCTATAATGATTATTCATGTCCCATGCATTTCTTAGGCTTTGTTTGTTGGTCGAACTCAATTTGATGAAATTATTAATACGGTGAGATCGAATGAGAGAATTACTAATATGGTGGTATTAATGTAAAATAAATTGAGGCTGTTTACGTAATAATATGATGATATTATTTAGTTATAATTAAATATATAAATTAACATTAAAAAAATTGTAATGTAGAAAGTGATTTTATTATTATTTCTAAGAATGAAAAACAAAATAATCATTTTAATTCTAAATAATAACAATGATTCATTCCTCTAATTTGGGAACTCTAATTGAACACTAATAAGGTGAAAATTCAAAAAAAAAGAAAACAAAAACTAAGATCAAAATATCACATCAATAAACGAGTCCACCCCCTAAGACTCCTTTGGAGCTTATAGTTTAGACTCCCAAATATTTTTGTTCTAAATAAATATTATTCTAGTAGGATCTACAGGATTAATAATCTAATATGAAGAGAAACAAACAGGATCTTATTTTCCAAAGTATAAATTAACCAATTAGTACTGTCAATTGGTCAAGGTTCATGATTAATCATGAAATCTTCACTCAATTGATTTTTTTTTTAATTTTAAATCGAATAAAATAAATAAATAAATAAATAACAAGGCCTTAGTGTAATAGTGCCACGTAATATGCTTTAAAGTCAAAATTTTAATTACAATCTTATCATAAAAAATGGCTGATGAAAGCTGCAATGTCGTCACCTACTTTTTGTGTTACTATTAAAACATTTCTAATTTAAATTTTAAAATTGTGTATTAATGTCTACAAAAATTTAAGGAAAATTTCTTAGAATTTTTTTTCTTCAAGTGTTTGTATTTTAATTAATTCATAAGATATTATCATATTTTAATAAATCCTATTATTTGGATATTGGATCTACCAAATCTTAATTCTTATATTTAAGATATTTTATGAATATTTTTACCCTAATAAATATATTTTGAATGGCTAGCAATTTGGTGTTGCGAACATTCATATTTTACATTGTGAATATTCACATTGATGATGTAAATATTCACATCACAAAATATTCACACTGTAAATATGAATATTGTTAAGTGTATTCTGGTAACTATCTCACCCATAAGATTTATTGAAACATAAGAAATTACAAAAATGCTTTAGAACTCTAATGGGAAGGTGGGACCCACCCTGATGTGATGTTTGTGCCTTGTTTTGTTTTTTTTTTTTTTTTGCTTTGACACATCACTAGAGCTCAAATTAGAGCTCTAGATTTAGAGCTCTCTAGCATTTCCCAAGAAATTAATGTAAACTAAATCAAACATAAGTAGATAAAAAATAATTTATGAACCTATTTTGGGAAGTGGATTAAAAGTCACTTCCTAACTTTTAACCCACTTTCCTCTCTTACAAAAAAATAAATAAATAAAAAATAACTTTTAACCGTCTTCTAAAACACCCCCAAAAACTTAACAATGAGTTTCCTAATGGGAAAAAAAAAACAGATGATGAATTTAAGATGGAGTCTTCTGATGAAAAATAAATAAATAACATAATATTTTTTTACAATAAAAAAGAAGTTGATATTTATTTTTAATCAAAATTAACTTTAAAAGTGAAACTAATTTTTATATTTTAAGAGTTTTTTTTAAAAAAATTAATGAGCGTATGAATATTCCAATTAACAAGTTAAAAAAATAAGAAATTATCAATTAGTGTGATTTATCAAAAATGATTATTGATTCATGAAAATTTGTATAATTTTAATTATTAACATTTATTATTAATTTTTTTTTTTATAAACAAACACTAAACTATTATTTTTGTCACAACCCAAACTCGGTATCCAGAGATTTGGTGCCGCAACAAGATAAAAAATAAAATCATAACAAATTAATAGTACAGCGAAGTAAAACAAAAGGATACCCAAAACTTTATTTAATAATAACATAATATATACATTGGAGCTTCTGTTTAATTAAATTGTCATAATTGAATTATGTCTACAAAGTTCTTGGTGCCTACCCATGCGATGCTCTTGACTCGTCACTTGTAAGTAGTTAACAATTATAAGCACATTGTAGAGATTTGGTGCCGCGACAAGATAAAAAATAAAATCATAACAAATTAATAGTATAGCGAAGTAAAACAAAAAGATACCCAAAACTTTATTTAATAATAACATAATATATACATTGGAGCTTCTGTTTAATTAAATTGTCATAATTGAATTATGTCTACAAAGTTCTTGGTGCCTACCCATGCGATGCTCTTGACTCGTCACTTGTAAGTAGTTAACAATTATAAGCACATTGTAGAGTGATAAATATTATACTAAGAGTATAAGGGCATAAAAATCACCATACACAGAGAATAGTTGGGCATTAAAATACAAAATATATAATACGAAAATCATTTGACGTATAATACAAAAATCATATAACAAAAATAATCATAACCACGGTATAGAATGGAACAGAACAGATATATGGACTCAAGAGATGGCTCGCCTGGACTCCAAAGGTGGCTCCCACAATATTATAGCACTGAGTTTCGTACAGCACTCTGCTCTACACTAAAAATCAAAGTGTCAGTGGATCTATGACAGACAGAAGGTCACAAAGTGACTAATCAAAAGGTCAATGGTTATTTAAGTCTCTCGATGCATGGGACCTCCGTGGTAGTACTTATAATTGCTCAAAATTATATTGGGTTTTATTTATTATACAACATAAGGTTCATAGCATAAATAACCCAATTTTCATAAAATAAATTATGATAACTCAAAATATATGTAAAATATATTATAGTGATTCAAGATATAATATAACTTACCTTAATTTTAACCCTTAAAGCATCTCCAACGGTGAACCTTCTTTTTTTCCATCAAATATGAGAAAAAAAAAGGCCATTTCCTCAATCTGATACGAAA